TAATTCTCATCCTTTAGTAACACAAAAGCAAATAGAAGTATACAATTGAGGAACATAATAGAGGAAAAAAAAATTCATAGGGAGACACCCACCATCTGGTATACCACAGCTGTCTGCGTTATGAAAATCTGGTTCATTGTCGTTTTTGTAAGTGTAAAAGTTAAGTAAATCGTATCATAAAAACTTTTTATGACCAAAGTTACGTAATATAACGAAAATTAGTTTTTAGAGAAGAAACATTTTTTGTTAATATCTGTTTTATTTAAAAATTATTATCCTCTGTCGCTATAAATAGGGAATTTTTTAGAATCGATCGAATGTAACAGAACAACTTAGAACGGGATCCTATAACATTCATAATATATTATAAGAGAAAATGACAGTACCATATATAAAAGGAGTACCAGATAAACTTAGAAGAAGAACATTTCAAAAACATTCAAAAACACAAACAGATTAAAATCTATTTTTTAGATTAAATGTAACAATGAACAAGAACGAATAAAGAATTGTATTTATAAAATACCTTATGAATTAAATCATTTTTATTTGGGTGAAACATCAACACCATTAAGTATTACAATAAGACAACATTATTCTTATATAAAACGCATGGGAAAATGTACATAGAGTTCAGTCGGAAGATTTAAGTATAGTCCTAATCAACTATATACTGACAAAAAATTAAAACCAAAAAGAATAACTGAGAAATGGTGAAGCAAGTGTGCAGAAATGGAAACGTTAGAAGAAAAATGATCGAGGAGAAAAGCTACTAGGATTCCTACTCCAGAATAACTTATTCAACATGAACAGCTTCTTTCACAAAAAGATGCACAGAAGATGGACTTGGGAAAGTCCAAACGGTAGAACAAGGAACGAAATCGACTACATCATAAGTGATCAAAAACAAATAATTAAAGATGTAACAGTACTCAACCAGTTCACCACAAACAGCGACCACAGGATGATACGAGCGAAAGTTCAAATCAATATAAAAAGAGAAAGGAATATAATGATTAAAAATAAATTTCATGGTATCTGGACACCCCCATTAGATATCAACCAATATCAGACACATATCAATAATAAGCTTCTACTGCAGGAAACCTCCGCTAACGATATTAACGACTTGAATAACTGCATCATAAACGCGCCTTACAAGAAAGTCACCGAGTGCACTGTCCTAAAAGAAAATCAGATAGTAAAATAAGTCCATATACTGAAACGCTCTTGGATCAAAGAAGACAAATGAGAAGCGATAAGAATGTAGATAGCAACACTTTAAGAAAAATGAACAAAACTGTTTCGAAAGCAATTAGGAGAGATTTAAGGAAATTTAATACCGATTATATTAAACGCACTATAGAGGAAAATAACAGCCTAAAAGTTCTACGTAGAAAGCTAACGAATGGGAAATGCGAAATTCATAAATTAAGAAACAAGCAAAATGAAATAATATCACGTAGAGACGAGTTAATACAGGTCGTCGAAGAGTTTTACGAGGACTTATATAGAAGTAGACGAGAAGATAAAACAGGAATACAAACAGCTATTTCAAAGAAGATCAAGAATCAAGGTTCCGAACTAATGCCAGAGATAAAGCTAGATGAGATTCGACAAGCATTAAGAAAAATGAAAAATAACAAAGCCCCAGGAGAGGATGGAATCGTAATAGAAGCTATCGTAAATGGAGGAGATATGCTATTAAATAAATTAAAGAAACTATTCAATCTATGTTTGCAGCAAAGAGAGGTGCCCAAAGAGTGGAACAATGCTACAACCATCCTTTTGCATAAAAAAGGAGATAGAACGGACCTAGAAAATTATAGACCTATTAGCCTGTTGAACCACATATACAAGCTCTTCACTAGGGTAGTGACATCAAGATTGGAGAAAAAATTAGATTTCTACCAACCGAGAGAGCAGGCAGGATTCCGCTCAAACTATGGTACCAATGATCACCTCCACACAGTAAAGACACTCATTGAAAAATCTATAGAATATAACAAACCTCTTGTTCTCACTTTCATAGATTTTCATAAAGCGTTCGACACGATCGAATTAGACAGCCTTATAGAAGCAATGAATGACAGCAGGATTGACCATAGGTATAGTGAGCTTATTTATAATATTTACAAAAATGCCACTATGACTGTTAAAATAGACAATAAAACCCGACCAATAAAAATAAATCGTGGAATAAGGCAAGGAGATACATTGTCGCCGAAATTATTCATAACGGCATTAGAATATGCCTTTAAGATGATCAATTGGGACCACAGAGGAGTAACGATAGACGGCGAAAAGCTTAACCATCTCCGTTTCGCAGATGACATTGTCCTTATCACAGATAATTTAGGAGAAGCTACAGATATGTTAAACGAATTGGATTTTGCATGTTCGAAGGTGGGCCTGAGAATGAACTTGACCAAAACTAAGTTTATGACAAATTTGGTCCCCAATAACCATTTGACAATTCAAGACAAAGTGGTAGAACTGGTGGAGAAATATACGTATTTGGGTCATGAAATAAGAATCAGCAGGGATAACCAAACATGTGAGATCCAAAGACGAATTACTTTAACATGGGCAGCCTTTGGAAAACTGCGAGACACACTTAGGGCCAACATACCAATCAGCCTCAAAAGAAAAGTGTTTGACCAATGCGTATTACCGGTCATGACCTATGGGGCGGAAACTATGACTTTAACCAAGACCACGGCTTCGAAACTGAGAGTGGCACAGAGACGAATGGAACGGTCTATGCTGGGAGTGACGTTGAGGGACCGAATAAGAAACGAAGATCTGCGAAGAAGGACGAGCATTACTGATGTTGTGGAACGCATAGCGGAACTAAAATGGAACTGGGCAGGCCATGTAGCGAGAATGCACGATTCACGATGGACGAGCAAAATTACAAATTGGAGACCAAGAGCAGACAAACGCAGTAGAGGAAGACCACCTACACGTTGGGCCGACGACATCAGGCGTATCACTAAAAATTGGCAACAAACAGCACAAAATCGTGAGGAATGGAGGAGTTTAAGGGAGGCCTATGTCCAGCAGTGGACGTGATAAATAGAGGCTGGATGATGATGATGATGATGAGAAGAAAAACATGACGACTTTAACATACATAAACTCGCTAAAGAGTTGATAGGTCATACAAAACCTTAACAGTATTTTGAAGCAAAATAAATTAATTTCTGATCCCAAGCATCCACTTTAACATTGGAGAAACTACACATAGCAACTATACCCAGAAGAAACTCTAAAAGTGAATACAAAAGTTAACCCTCCATCAAAATATTGAAGTCAGAAGTTGTAAGGGTAATCAAACAGAGCAAATAAAGAAAAGCACCAGGCCAGACGACATATACATAGAGATTCTAATAATGTTGAGTGAAGACAATATAGTCGCCTTGGTAGATCTTTTTAATGACATTTATGACCCGGTCAAATACCACAGGATGGCTTAATTAACCTTTATACCAATACCAAAAAATTTAAACGCTAATAGTTGCAACCAATTTCGAATGATCAGCTTACTGAGCCAGGTCCTAAAACTCTTCTTAAAGATAATTTACACAAGAATATACATCAGATGTGAAAGAGACATTAGCCCCACACAGTTCGGTTTCCGACAAGGATTTGGCACAAGAGAAGCACTTTATAGCTTAACTGTCCTACTTCAGAAATGCAGAGATCAGCAAAAAGATGTCTTCCTTTGCTTTATAGAAAACCAAAAAGCGTTCGATTGTAATTCAGTTCAGAATTAGTAAGATTGCGCCAGAACGTTTGATAGATGAGAATGACCTTAAAATCATCAAAAGATCCACAAGTTCAGATATCTCGGTAGTTGGATAACTGAAGATCTAGATCCAGACATAGAGATACGTAGCAGGATTGAGCAAACCAGAACAGCATATACTAATATGAGACCTTGCTAAGCAAAAGCAGCCCTAACCTAACGCTTCGATATTGCTTTGTAAAATGCTACATTTACTTCATACTGCTATATGGTGTAGAAACCTGGACCATAAAGGCCAATGTGATGAACCGATTGGAGGCCTTTGAAATGTGGGTATTTAGAAGACTACTTAAAATTACCTGGACAGATCACACAACAAATGTCGAAGTATTAAATCGAATGGCTTAACATAAGGGATTGGACAAACCTCGATGTCCATACACTCTTTATAGCCACACACGACCGAGAGTATGCTAGAATTGTCGTTAACATCCACCAATTGGATATGGCACCATTAAGAAAGTAAAATTAAATTAAATCTTCGATAACAGCGTTCGAAAATAAAAAAATTTCAGTCCTTCCAAAGTATATGGAATGGGTTTACTTCTTTAAAATCTTGATTGTATATAAATAAATTTTTATTGCTTATAAAGTCCTTAACTACAAAAACTGTAAAAAGTGATTTAAATAATATTTTACATTTTCCTGAGTTATGAAGGAAATAGAGAAATGAGAAGACCAGGCGCCACCCAGGTGATAAAAGAATAGAAAAATATGAGTATTTATTTGCATAAATGACAAATAATTAAAATGTAATAACCTCTGCTTTAAAATAATTTATAAAACAATAAATTTTTAAAACAGACTTATAGTTAAATACACTTAATATATTTAGATCAGGTACTTACTTGGCAATATTCGCAATCAATGATTTTGTATAATAATCAAAAAGAAGCAGTAAAACAAACCAATACAACAATTTTCCAAGTTGAACTGACAAAAAAAAACATGCCATATAAGCATCCTTTTTTTTAAATTAAAATAAGGTTTTTTACCTATTAAATTATTGCAATGTTTGGAATGTATATTAGTTATCTCAACATCGACCTTTATTCTCAAAAAGGTGATCCTCGATATCGTTTTACCTTTAAGTTCAAGTACTTTTAATTCTTAAAAAAAAACCTTCGCAATAAAAAACTATATATAAAGAAAATAAATTTAGCTACCTATATCATTTACGTTATTAAAAAAAAAGTAACAACATGAATTTCAAGATCACTTTGGTTTTTGTCGCCCTCTGCATGGCTTCGGTAAGTTAAATTACTAAGTTAATTGTTGTTGTAGTTTGGGCTGTGTTTTTTTCTACATTTCAGGGATTATTAATTTTTGCCTGTTGCGGCATTGATTTTAAATTCATTTACCGATACCTTAATTTATACATAATATTTTAATAAATTTTCTAAGGGTTATTGTCCGGAATATGGCAAGATCCTGAAGTTAATAACCGTCCTCTTGGGGTTCTCCTCAAAATAATTCCAGAAAAAAATAATTTTCCCAAATTATCGTCCCCTTTACAAATCACGTCACCAAAAACTGTAGAACTTGCAGCATATATATTGAAGACAGTCTTTTTCATTGAAAAGTTGTTAATCTTGGAAAAGTTTGTCCGATGAACTCTCCAAGATATGCGCAGCATTCTTTTCCACCGCATCGCACAGGTATTAATTTTTTGGCGTTTTTGTGCTGAAAGCGTCCAAGTTTCTGGCCTGTGTAGAGATATTGGGAATACCAATTCCATCTTATATATAACAAGCGAGTCTTCTACAGCTGGCGCCGCTTCTCGCATCCTAATTTCCAGCGTTTTCTGTCGAAGCAATCTTCAGTTGTTAGATCTCTGGCGGTCATTACATCGTCGACATCGTCTCTCCAGGATCGTCTTGGTCTACCTCGTTTTCTTCTAGTTGGCGTAGTCCATTCTTCTATTTTTTTTTGGCCATCTATTTTCTGACATTTCTCTGAAGGTGTCCATACCAGTTAAGTCATTTGGCTTCGAGTGTGTCTATTATGTCTAGATCGATTTCTAGTCGATTTCTAGTCTAGTGACCTGGCAACATCGTCTCCAGTAGTTCATTTCCATGGCTTACTTTTTGATTGGTTTCTTTGGTTTATTTCCCAGAGTTCGGCGTCGTATAGCCCAATACTTTCTATTATTGTTTTATATAAATTCTTCCTTTTATTTTCTTGGACTCCCAAGTATGTAAAATTATCTGTTGGTTTTATAGTTCTCATTTCAATTTGTAGGCTTGTAGGCTGGTTTTTCTCCTACAACTAAGTACTCAGTTTCTTGTATATTAATTGTGAGGCACCATTTGGTGTACTCATCTTCCAGTTTTCTAAGCATGTAGCCTACATCACTCTCATCTTCAGCTAGAATGGCTTGGTCGTCAGCGAAATGTATCGTAGACAATCTATCATCTCCGATTGGGATGCCCATATTGCAGCACTTTCTTCTCCACAGTGAGAGTGCCTATTTAAAAATATTTTAAAGAGTGTAGGTGCTATGCAGCAGCCTTGCTTTAGACCCTTACTAATAGGAATTTCTCTAGTTAATCTATTTCCAGTTTTAATGTTTGCCGTCATATTTTTGTAGAGCTGTTGTACTGCTTGTATATTTTTTTTGCTTATTCCTTGTTTTTCCATTACTACCCAAAGCATTGAAGGTGGTACACTATCGTATGCCCTTGTCAGATCTATAAAGACAATATGAGTTGAAAGGTTGTGGGCTAATCTTTTCTCGATAACTTGCTTTAGATAGAATATACTGTCCATACAGGATCTGCCTGCACGAAAGCCATTCTGTTCTTCTACATCTGTCATCTCTTTTTCAATTTTATTTTTTATTATTTTTCCACGCAGTCTTGAGAGTGAATTTATGACACTTAGCCCGCTGTAGTTTGAACAAATCTTTATATCTCCTTTTTTGTAGATGTTGTTAATATGTGCTTTTGTTCACTCCGGTGGTAAGTCGTGTCCATTATAGGAGGTGAAGACATACGCCAGTAATTTCCGTAATACTTGTGGGCCATGTTTTAATAATTCATTTGGTATACCTTGTGGTCCGCATGACTTCCGATTTTTTAGAGTTTGTATTGCATTCTCGACTTCCTGTACTGTTATTTCATCGTCTTCACTGAATTACAGCTCATATGTTGTTGTGTTGTTGTTCGTGAATTGAGGTTTTGTTTGAGTCAAAAGTTGTGAGTAGTGTTCGATCCAAGATCTTTCTTCTATTAAATCTATTCTTCTCTCGTTTCTTTTCTGTTTGTTGTCAGATTTTTTACCGTTTTTCATGCTTCTTTTGATCTTGTTGACCCTATATATTTGTTGAGTTCTTTGCATTTACTTTTTCAGGAAATATTTTTTGCTTTAGTTACTAAATTTTTGACTTCTCTGTTTGATCTTGCATATGTTCGCCTATCATCTGGATCATTTGTTTGCAGCCACTTTTGATATGCTTGTTTCTTGTTGTGTACTGCATTGGCGATGTCATTTGTCTACCACAATGGAGTGTCCATCTTTACTTTGTAAAAATCTGTCTTTACATACTTAAAATAGGTGTCTCATCGTATTTTGTCTTGCCAATGCCTAACCGAACTTCTGCTTCGCATGTGCCATAGTTAGTTATACTAAATCCAATATAGTTAATACTGTCTATTATATCGACAATCATTTAAAGTTTTATTTTTAAACCAAGTTGCAAATCAGTAACAATCCAGTTAATATCACTGAAACTCGGGTTATGAAAACTTTTAAACTCAAAATGAGATTTACAGAGTGCATTTCACCGCAAAAATACTCTATAAAGTTTTTGATAAAACAAATATATTATGCCTTTTTAATTTTTTTTAATAAATTAATGTGTCTAGGTTGCAATGGCCATTGGACACACCTTTTTTAATTGTCCCTGACTGAAACCCCTCTGTGGCTCAGTGGTAGAGACGCCTGCCTTTAAATCTAAAGGTCGTGAGTTCGAATCCCCACCTGGATGGAAATTTTCGTTTATTAAAAAAAAAATTAATAAATGAAAATAATTTCTATCCTTGTGTGATCGGTACCCACCGGAGGGACCGCAGACGTTCGGATACAATTAGCGTCTCTTAGCAAAGACAATGACGTCGACTTTGCTAAGTATCAAGACAATTACTCTACACACACACACACTACAACACTCAAATTGTAAGATTGGCGAATGGATTTAGTGTCCGCAGTCATTTAAACACAAACAACAACAACAATGTCCCTGACTGAAAGTGTCAAAGTGAAAGTGAAACATTTTTATTAACATCTAATCTAGATTTTAAGTAAAAATATTACTTAAAAGAATACTTTTATATATATCTTTTATCGATCATTGTTCAATGATTTTGATGGCTTATTATTTTTAGCGTATTATCTTTAAAACCATCTTTCAATAAATTACTAAACACTTGTAAAGATATTGTATTGTCCAGTATTAGTGATAGTTTTAATAATTATATTTTCATTATTATGAGTAATTTTATTCGCTGAATCTTTTTTTTGTATTGGTTATTTTTATAAATTCATATTTCATCTACTTTCCAACCTTTGTTAAATTACGGTACATGTATTTTTCATCTAACCATCATTATTCTATTTTTTTTATCCCAATGCAGGCTTAGTTTCCTATCTCATTCACAAACTTTTTTGCTAAGCATTTTCTACCAAGTATTCTTTGGTCTGCATTCCTACCCCTTTCATGAACTTAAAATTCAACATTTCTTCGTATTGGGTAATTATTATCTCGACATTTAACATGTATTAACCATTTACCTGTCTGTAATCACAATATCAATATAACGCTCTGGATAAAAATGCCTCGATGTTATATTTTATGCACCCCTTTGTACGAGGTTAAAGCCTGGACACTAAAACCTAAAAGAATTCGAAATGTGGTGTTCCCGGCGTATTCTGAAAATATCATGGATGGAACAAATGTACAAATTCTCAAACAGCTCAAGACATAAAAGTTCGTTTAAAAAAAATGCAATTGAACTGAGCTATGCAGGCACGTAACCAACAAAATTATAATTCAATTCAACATTCTGTCTCCGGCTTCTATATAACATGTAGCTTCTTCCTTTTTAAAAATTTAAAGTGTTTGTTTGTATTTGTGTATTGTAATGTTATGTCCAAATTTACATTTATCACATTCTACTCATGTCGGATAGCCCACAACTGACGAAATGCCCCTGAAGATGATCTATTGATCGAAAGTACTTGGGCAAGATTTAACTAATCACTGTGTTCGATAGTTGCCTTGTATACTATCAAAGTTTAACTATAATTGACATAATAGTGTCAAATTGTGAAAATATCCTTTTGTAAAATACTTATTGAACTTATTTGTACTATTAAACCTCGTTCAATAGGACAAACATTGATTTTATTAGAATTGTTAATAAACAACTGACGATATTTTCTTTTCATTATAGGCCTACACCTACCCCAAGAATGCACTAAATTCAGATTGGGATATTTATATTCTTCAGTTTATTGTTCATGCCATTGAGTTTGTTATTGATCATATCCTCCAAGACGCCCCAAAATTCATTGAAGATATTGACCAAAAATGGCCTGACTTCCATGATGGCGAAGTGAATGTCACTAAGAGTATCGTTGGTTTTGTTTTCGATTTTGTGAACAATCGTATAAACACTTGGTCACAAAGTAAGTATGCAAGATATATAAATTTATTTGATTTGCATAGTTTGATTCAGTTACTTGTACTGTATCTACAATTTCGTAAAGTATTGTTTTTGTGGTGGTGTAAGCTTACTACAAAACAAATTTAATTCGTTTCTTGTATTTATAAAAGATTATAATAGATAACTTGATAAAAAGTCTTCAGAATACAAAAAGCCAATGACACTGATATCCGTGGACTATAAGAAAGCATTCTATAGGTATCATAAGCCAGCAGAAAATGGAAAATGAAAAAAGCAGGTAAAAGCAATGATGTAATGCCAAATAGAAAATCACTATTTTAACATAAATATAGCTATTAAAATGCCAAGGTTAGCGAAAAACTATCTATTACTTATACTCACTTATAAAGCAAAAACATTAACATTCACAAAAAGGTAGTAAACAAGATTCACTTAACTTATATGGCTATGGCGGATCAAATATTGGGTGTCTTTTTGAAAGAACGAATTCTAAATAAAAAAATAAGTCTAAAAACAAAAATAACAGATGCTATCGAAAAAATCGCGTTATTTAAATAAAATTGGACAGAACACGTCGCCAGCCTATTAGACAATCAATGGACAAAACGTATTATCACATGGCGGCCAAGAAAAGTAGCACTACTTAGCAGAAGGCGCCCTCCAACTAGATGAACTGACGACCTGAAACATTTTAGTAGTAACTAGATACAAGCTGCATAAGACAAACACAAATAGTAAGAGCTGAAAGAGATCTATGTGCAGCAGTGGACGTGTTCAAGTAGATATTGATGATGAGAATAAAGATCTTAAGAAGAGACATATCTAAATAATAATTATTATCAGTCCTATAGTAAAGGGGCCAAGTACGCGAAACCTACTCAGTACACTTTAAGTGGTTTAATGGATTGATAGTTTGGATTCCGATTAGAAGACAGAAACTTTACTGCAGTAGTCAATCCGAATGATTCTACGACTTAAACTAATATACGCTTATATAATGGAATCAACATATGATAGACAAGTATGGCAAGAGAGTGGAAAGAAATTTGGTAATGTTCAGAGAGATTCCATTGCGATATTATTTTATCTTTTATGTTTATAATAGTGTCATAATTTCTTTTAAATTTAATTTTTATTAAAATTTTAGACAGTACTGATGGTGGTAAAAAGCTGGCTAAATGCATAAACAGAAAATCGTAATGATGCCGTTCACGTACCAGTCGATTTCATCAACAAAACACTCGAGTGCAGCGGAGATGATTTTATTGCTTTCGTCAAAACTTTGCCAACTTTAATACAAGACCTTACTGAGGTTCAAGTAGATGCAAAAAGAGCAGCAAACAAAATTGATCAATGCCATGGAGATGATGTATCTACTGTTCTCTGCGTTTTGGATGTAAGTTGAATTTAAATTAAAGTTTATATGTTTAGATTGCATGAACTATCAAATAGATATTTATACATATTTTTTCTTTAGATTGTTTCTGACTTGGTCGATGTTGCTAAGACTCTCGCAATCAAAACTCACAATCACATCAAGCCGGTTGCAGATCAATGGAACGTATTCGTCAACAGCACTTTCAACTGCGGGATAGACAATGTTGGCAGCTACAACCTTGCTGGGGGTAAATGGTTACAGGAAGTTTACGCTTGTGTATCTGCCTAAATTTCCAATTGGCAGCAAGTGATTAATTGTGTAATATTTTTGTAATATAAAATGAAAATTTGTATTCTATGTAAATCATTTTTCAATTTTACTAATAAACTTTTTGCATCATTGCTGATTGTGTGCTGTAAAATAATTTTTGCCTAATTGTGAGCTGTCCTAATAATTTAGTATGTAATTTTAGAAAACAAAATAAACTAAAATATATAAAAGACCAAAAAATTTACGTAGAGTCTAATATAACAAAGAAAGAACAAGACACACATGCCAAGATAGTCACAAATAGCCAAAGGTAACACTACGAAGATAAGGTATATAAAGGTGAAAATTAATGAAAAGAGTGGAAATGGGCCTACAATATTTAAAAGACGGTTTAAACAGGAATATACAACGACAACTTAAAAACAAATAAAATGGGCCAAACCAACAACTAGAACCCATTAACGATAAAATCGTAGAAGAACAACTGAGATGGAATGGGCATGTGTGTTAAATCTCCAGAAAAAAAGTTACAAAATATGTGTTCGAAACACAAGTGCAAGGAGAAAACGAAAGAAGAAAATAATGATATGTTATTATCAGATGTTACATATAACATCCTACATATTGCAATAAATTTGGAGATGTAAATGCCTGAGTGTTATTTTGCTAATTATTAATGCTATTTCCGTTGACCAAAATATCTTCCACAATATCAAATAAAGCTTTTTGAAATATCACTTCACTGTAGACGTTGAATAAGAGTGGTGAAACTACGCAGCCTTGTCGAACTCCTCTAAGTATACTTACTTTCCTCTGTCAGTTCTCCCTCGACTCTTATTCTTGCTTTCTGATTTTGAAGCAGATTCGATATAATTTGTAGATCTCTACTATATATGTTTTTGATCTTAAGAATACTTAAAAGCTTTTCATGTTAAACTTTGTCAAAAACTTTTTTAAAATCTATGAAGCAAGCATATATGTTTTAATTCATATCCAGACATCGTTGAGTCAAAACATTTACTCCCAATAATGCTTCTCTAGTTCCTAGAAAGAAGACAGCTTAAAAATAGAAATAACTCATGAGTATAAACGAAAGCATAATCTGATTCGAAGAAAAATCAGGGAAGCCAAAGAGTTATGGATGCGAGCAAAATGTGAGGAACTAGAAGAATTGCAACGAAAACATGACGAATTTAACACACATAAGGAAATAAAAGAAGTTACAGTACACAAAAGAAATACACCCATAACATTAACGAATAATGAAGGTCATGCACTATCCCTAGAAGACGAAGTAATGGAGGAATGGGAAAACTACATTAAAGCATTATTTAAGGATGATCGAGGATCACTACCTAACTTAAGTGCAAATACAGGACCATCAATCTTAAAAGCTGAGTGGAAAAAGCCATACACCAAGCCAAAAACAACAAAGCTAGTGGACCAGATCAAATATACAACGAATGGCTAAAATTACTTCCAAATGACAGTATAAAAGAACTCACTGTACTTTTCAATCAAATATATGATACCAGTACAATTCTATCGGACTGGTTAAAATCGGTCTTAATTCCTCTACCTAAGAAACCAAACGTTAAGAAATGTAGCGATTGTAGACTCATTAGTTTAATGAGCCATGCCGTTAAAATACTGTTGCATATTCTTCTAAACCGAATTAACAAGTGCGAAGAAATAATTAGTCAAGAGCAGTTCGGGTTCCGGAGATGCCTTGGAACTAGAAAAGCACTATTTTCTATGCAAAACACTCCTCCAACGATGTGGGAGGTAAGAAAACCCGTATATAATGTGCTTAATTGATTTTGAAAAGGCATTTGATCGCGTTCAGTATACCAGACTAATTACCGCCTTGCAGAGCATCCAACTAGATGAGAAAGGCATTACACTTATTGCCAAACTTTACTGGAACCAAACAGCCATTATTAATACCAACAACAGAGAATAAAAGCCAATCAGTATTGAACGAGGAGTAAGACAAGGCTGTATACTATCTCCCACCCTCTTTAACGTGTATTCTGAGAATCTATTTAGGGAAGCTTTAAAAGATCAAAAAGAAATTATCATAGGAGGGGAAATAATTAACAATATACGGTACGCCGACGATACTGTAATTCTAGCTGAAAACATCGACGATCTGCAGGAGCTAAGAGTTGACATTGAATGCACAAATTGGGGACTGTCGATAAATATCGATAAAACTAAATACATGGTGACCAGTAAAGTGGATATCGGCGCAATCCAACTGATATTAAACCAACAACCGCTGCAGAAAGTTCAGAGATTCAAATACCTTGGATGTTGGATTACCCAAAATCTATCAACAGGCAAGAAGCTCATTTCAAAAATTCAAGCCTTTATTATCCAATAACTCATTAAATTTGGAAATTCGTGAAAAGTTTACAAGATGTTACGTGTGGTCTGTACTTTGTATGGATGTGAAACTTGGACTTTAAACGCCGATATCATGAATAAAATCGAGGCGTTTGAGATGTGGTTGTATCGAAGGATACTAAAAATTCCATGGACAAGCAGAACCAGAAACGAAGAAGTTCTTCAAAGAATAGGACATCAACGAACTCTATTAAATATTATTAAGAGGCGTAAACTAGAATATCTTGGACATGTAATCAAAGGACCAAGATATGAGTTCCTTCCGCTACAGTAAAATCGAAGGAAAGAAATGGATAGGACGGAAGAAACTCTCTTGGTTGAGGAATTTGTGGCAGTGGACAGGTTTGACAACGAACCAATTGCTACACGTAGCGCAAGACCGAGATCAGTATAACAATATTATAAGCATGGTAGTCGCCGACGTTTCGTAGGGATATGGCACTCTAAGAAGAAAAGTTCCTAGACCCTTTCTAAAACCCATCTGTAAATCACTCATTTCTTGTTCTAATTTTATGTGGATTCTGTTATGTATGATTTAAAGGAGGTTTTAATGTGTGGCTCATTAATACAATTGTCCGCTAGTCATTGCAATATTAAGCATTTGTGATTTTTGGGATCGTTACAAAAGTTCCTACCAAGACATAAATATTATCTTCATCGATTATCTTCAATAGTTCAACTGGTATATTATCGAGTTCTGGAGCTTTTCTACCTTTTCTACCTTCGGCAACTTCTAATTGTTCTACTTTTTGGTCATAAAATAGGTGTTCAATGTATTCTTTTCATCTACGTAATTTTTCTTGCGTTTCAGTTATAGTGGTACCATCTGCATTTGTTAATATCCCGAGAGAACTACTAAGGACTGTAAAATATTAAAATATCTCTTATCTGACACATATAGTAAGGAAAAGTCGATAGAAAATATTACAACTATGGCACGCGAAGAATAAGATCCCTTTGATAGGTTATCTGATAGGTCAACTGAGAATGATGTTGAAAAGTCTCCAAAACGGGAAACTTTTTAAATATGTAAAAAGTAAGTAAGACAACCCATTTAGAGGACATATCTTAAAGAGAACAGCAAATTAAGAGAGGATAAAGTAATTTAGTTAATTATAATATAGTTTACGATGGAAAAATATGTTATTACTACATAGTATTCTCATAGTAAAACACTCGAGTGCAGCGGACCTGATTTTATTGCTTTCGTCAAAACTTTGCCAACTTTGATAGAAGATCTTACTGATATTTAGGCAAATGTAAAAAGTGCAGCTGATAAAATTTACAATTGTGTTGAATGTGATATATCTACCGCTCTCTATGTTCTTGAGGTCATCAAAAACATATAAAGTACAAAAAAGCTCTTCCTTCCTTTTTTTATAATATTTTTTTTCCTGGTATGTCGATTAATGCACTAATTGTATCAATATACCGACGATATCTACATAGTCTACAGTTTTTTTTTAATTAGGTATCAACTCTGTACTTATACATTTTTTTTGGTTGTTTCTGACTTGGTCGATGTAGCTTAGATTCTCGTAATCAAAACTCACAATCACATTAAGCCAGTTACAGATCAATGAAACGTATTCGTCAACAGTATGATGGATTGTCGAAAAGAGAATATTGATATCTACAACACTCGTAGGGGGTATATGGCTGCAAAAGGTATCCAACTGCTTTACTGCGTAAGCTTCAAATAAATTTAAATAAGGTATTTGTGTAATATATTTATATATTGTAAAAATATTGGCTTTTATTTTTCACTTTTAGCACTTTGGATACATAGAAAGGTTAAATGGAATTCTGACATTTTCGAGGAATTAACCACGAAAACAATCTATGAGACAAGCAAGATTAGATCAGGATTCAGCAAATATAGACCTCCGAATGAAAATTTTTCTCACGAACCGTTAGATGTAGAAAAATTCTGAGCATCGCATAAGAACGAGCTGTCAATTTTATGTAAGAAATGTTTACCCGCTTGACTCTCGGACGAAAATTGACGCCAATATAGCCGAATAACGAAATTCGAAAAAAATCCAAGGTACCCCCTTTGTTCATTTTTTTCCAAATTTTTGATAAAAAAAAATTTTTGTTTTATGTTTTGGTGCAAGCACTCGGTCCAGCTTATTACAAAAACATGTCTTAGTCTGATCCGCCAACCCAAATTTGCCGGGAAAGAGAAAAAATCGAATTAAAAATTCTTTACTTTTTCAGCAATTATAGACCTCTAAATGAAAATTTTTCTCACGAACCGTTAGATGTAGAAAAATTCTGAGCATTGGATAAGAACGACCGCTCAATTTTATGTAAGAAATGTCTACTCGCTTGACTCTCGGACGAAAATTGACGCCAATATAGCCGAATAACGAAATTCGAAAAAAAATCCAAGGGTACCCCCTTTGTTCATTTTTTCCAAATTTTTGATAAAAAAAAATTTTTGTTTTATGTTTTGGTGCAAGCACTCGGTCCAGCTTATTACAAAAATATGTCTTAGTCTGATCCGCCAACCAAAATTTGCCGGGAAAGAGAAAAAATCGAATTAAAAATTCTTTATTTTCAGCAAATATAGACCTCCAAATGAAAATTTTCTCACGAACCGTTAGATGTAGAAAAATTCTGAGAATCGCATAAGAACGAGCGGTCAATTTTATGTATGAAATGTCCACTCGCTTGACTCTCGGACGAAAATTGACGCCAATATAGCCGAATAACGAAATTCGAAAAAAATCCAAGGGTACCCCCTTTGTTCATTTTTTTCCAAATTTTTTGATAAAAAAAAATTTTTGTTTTATGTTTTGGTGCAAGCACTCGGTCCAGCTTATTACAAAAATATGTCTTAGTCTGATCCGCCAACCAAAATTTGCCGGAAAGAGAAAAAATCGAATTAAAAATTCTTTACTTTTTCAGCAAATATAGACCTCCAAATGAAAATTTTTCTCACGAACCGTTAGATGTAGAAAAATTCTGAGAATCGCATAAGAACGAGCGGTCAATTTTATGTATGAAATGTCCACTCGCTTGACTCTCGGACGAAAATTGACGCCAATATAGCCGAATAACGAAATTCGAAAAAAATCCAAGGGTACCGCCTTTGTTCATTTTTTTCCAAATTTTTGATAAAAAAAAAAAATTTGTTTTACGTTTTGATGCAAGCACTCGGTCCAGCTTATTACAAAAACATGTCTTAGTCTGATCCGCCAACCCAAATTTGGAAATACTCACCAAAGGAACCTCACTAAAAATAAGTATTAGAAATTGAATGAAGCTACTTAGTAAAAGGATTTTGGAGATTCCCTCAAAGATTAAAAATAGCAATATGGAACGTAAAAGTATTAATATTCAGAAAAAAGATATAACATTATCTAGGAAATGCAAAGATTTGCCATCAATATATTGGGGATAAGTAAAACGTTCTGACCAGGTAGTAAACAGTACCAAATAAGGGATCATATATATGGCCTCCATAATACAACACGGCGGCAGTTGCAGCTAACAAGCGAAGCAGTAACATGTCCAAAAGATGCCAACCTCTAGTGTTGGCGAAACGTCGAGAACTAATCTCGGAAGACAACGGCCTAACAGCCTGAACAAGCAGTTTAACCAGAAAAACCAATAGGTTAGTAGGAAATTTCAGATTAGGCAACTGAAAAAAAAAGAGAGGTAATAGATTAATTTTGTGAAGATAATGTGGTGATTACAAATAATACTTTTAACACTGCCTAATAGATGATACTATACATGGAAATCACCTCAAGATAATAGGTAAACAGATAACAGAATAAAAAGGTAAAATGTGCAGATCAACACCTATGATAAACAAAAAACACAAAAATAAGCAATTTACCTATAAACTGAGCTTTATTAATAACTCTTGAATACAAAGTTCTAGAGTTTTTAAACTTCATACAGCAGTATATCTCTTCTTAGAGTGCCGTCTCCCTACGGAGGTTGGCAATCATAATGGCTATTTTTATTTTAGAACTTGCTGCTCTAAACAAATCAATCGATCTGCATTGGTACCAATCACGTAGATTCTTTAACCATGAGTTCTGCCTTCGGCCAACAGATCTTCTTCCTTGAATCTTTCCCTGTATTATCAGTCTCAAAATTTCATATTTTGGTCCCCCTCATCACGTGGCCTAGGTATTCCAGTTTTCTGGTTTGTATAGTGGTGATTAGTTCTGTTTCTTTACCAACCCTCTCCAGTACTTCTCTATTTGTAATTTTATCAGTCCATGATATTTTCAATACTCTGCGTAAGTAAGGCCTCGATTCTTTTTAAATTACATTTTTTTAATGTCCAAGTCTCAGCTCCATATAATAATATTGAAAATATATAACAGCGAATGGTACGTAGTCTGATCTCCAAATTTAGATTTTTGCACGTTAGGAGTGGCTTCATTCGTATAAATGCTGATCTGGCAATGTCTATTCGTCTGTTTATTTCTACAGTATGATCATTGGTTTCATTGATCAAAGTTCCCAAATACTGATATTTTTCTACTTGTTCTATCACGTTACCATTTATTGTCAATAGGTGATGTATATTTTGTGGCCTTTTTGTAATCAGCATGTACTTTGTTTTTTTAGCGTTTATAGTAATTCCCATCTCAGCACTATTTATACTCAAGCTTTCGATAAGATGTTGTAGATCCTCTATACTCGTTGCTATGATCACAGTGTCATCTGCATATCTTAAATTATTAATTAATTTTCCGTTAACGGTGACTCCCGCTTCGATATTATTGAGCGTGTTTTGGAAAATTTCATCAGAATATAAGTTAAACAAAAGTGGTGATAACACACATCCCTGTCTAACTCCTCTACAGATCATCATTTCTTCTGAGTGTTGTCCATCAATTTGAACTATGGCACTTTGGTTCCAATATAATGTTTGTACTATATTTATGATTTTACTGTCAATGCGCTTGTTCATAAGTATTGATATTAGTTTTTCATGTCTTGCTTTATCGAAAGCTTTTTCGTAGTCAACGAAACATAAGTGTAGATCAACATTTACATCCCGACATCGCTGAATTAATTTGTTGATGGAAAATACTCCTTCTCGAGTACCCATTCCATTTCTAGCCTTTCGTATATTCTCTTATGTATTATTTTTAACAGAACTTTTAAAGTATGAGGCTCAGTGTTCGATAATCAGAGCAGTATATATAAGGTGTTAATTTGGAAATAAAAGGTTTAGTCAAAATTAAATTAAATCTTGGACAACAACTTTTGATAATAAAAAAAATTGTCCTTCTTAAGTATATGGAATAGGATTACTTTAATAAAATATTGATTATATAAGAAATTAATTTTTATTGTTAATAAAGTTCTTAGAACTTTAGAGAAAGTAAAAAGTAAAAAGTGATTTAAATTTTGCGATTTTCCTGGTTCCTTCTTCTTCTTCCTATGCCGACCCCATTAACTGAGGTTGGCGACCACATTTTAAAAGCTTCTCTGTCTTTTGCAACGTGAAATAATTCATCTACAGTCAGGTTTGTCCAGTCTTGAATATTTCGCAGCCATGACTTCCTCTTTCTACCTATTCCCTTTTTGCCATCGACTCTACCCTGCATGATGACCTGCAGAAGACTATATCTATTATTTCTTAGTATGTGTCCAAGGTATGTAGTCTTGCGTACTTTTATCGTTCTCAACAATTTTTTGACTCGACCCATTCTTCTCAGCACTTCCTCGTTGGTGACCCTGGCAGTCCATGGGATTCTCAACATTCTCCGGTATATCCAAAGTTCAAAGGCTTCAATATTTTTAACTATTTGCGCTTTTAGTGTCCATGTTTCTACCCCGTACAATAGTTGCGACCAGACGTAACATTCAACAAACCTCAGTCTCAGCGCAATATTCAGATTTTTGTCACAGAACAATTGTTTGAATTTTAAGAACGCTGCCCTTGGTTGCGCTGGTTCCAGGTGATAAAAATAGCAAAATATAAGCAATAGGATGCATGAATGACAAAGTTTTTAAAACCAAAGTTATACTTAAAATATTCTTAATATATTTAGATCTTGTAATTTCAGCAGTTTTCTTTGTAGACTAGAATTATCAGAAGAATAAGGTCAGCGTGGGAAAGGCCTATGTCCAAAGTTGGATTACCTAAGGCTAAAGAAGAAAAAGATATTTAGATCAGGTACTTACTTGATAATACTCGTAAACGAAGTTTTTGTATAATAATCAAAAAGAAGCAGAAAAATAAACTAATAAATAATTTTTCAAGTTGAACTGTAAAAAAAAACATGCTACATAAATATTTATTTCTAAATTAAAATATGGTTTTTTACCTATTAAATTATTGCAATGTTTGGAATGTATATTAGTTATCTCAACATCGACCTTTATTCTCAAAAGGTGATCCTCGATATCGTTTAACCTTTAAGTTCAAGTATGTTTAATTCTAAAAAAAAACCTTTGGAATAAAAAACTATATATAAAGAAAAAAAATTTACCTACCTACATCATTTAAGTTATAAAAAAAAGTATCAACATGAATTTCAAGATCACTTTGGTTTTTGTCGCCCTCTGCATGGCTTCGGTAAGTTAAACAAAAATAATTAATTATTAAGTTAGTTGTTATGTTGTTGGTTTGGGTTTTTTCTACATCCCAGGATTGTTTATTTATTGCCTCTTTCGGCATTAATTTTTAATTCATTTCTAAATACGTTTATTCATAAGTTATATTCTAACAAATTTTTCAAGAGTTATTGTCCAGAATTTGGAGTGTTTTTCTAGTTGGTAACTGTCCTATAGGTGGTTTTCATGAAACGATTTCAAAAAAAATTAATCTCCCTAAATGATCTTTAACTTTACCAATCACTTGAAAAAAACTGTACAAATCGCTGCAAAAATGTTGTGGACAGCCTTTTTTATTGTCAAGTTGGCTAAGAATGGCAAAGTTGGTCCCCGATGAACTCTTCAAGATATGCGCAGCATTCTTCTTCTTCTTTTTCAGATGCAAATCCACTAATGGATGTTAGCGATCACATTTTCCAATAATTCTCTATTTCTTGCAATATGTATCAGAGATTGTATGTCGTTAATCCCTGTCCATTGCCTTATGTTTCGGAGCCAGGACATTTTCTTGCGTCCCATTCCTCTCTCGCCTTCAATTTTACCCTCGATTATAAGTTGAAGGGACTGGTATTTCTCATTCCGCATGATGTGACCTAGATACGCCGTTTTCCTTTTCTTGATGGTTTCGAAAAGTTGGCGTTCTTGGTTTATTCTTTTAAGGACATCTGTATTTGTGATTATCGCTGTCCATGGTATTTTTAGGATACAGCGGTAAAGCCACATTTCGACAGCTTCTAATCTGTTTATATCCCTCGTTTTGAGTGTCCAGCCCTCTACGCCATATAGCAGCACTGACTACACGTAGCACTTAGTAAACCTTAGTCTCAGTTGAAGATCGAGCTCTGAACAAGTCAGTACCTTCTTGAATTTTACGAAAGCTTGTCGAGCTTTACTCACTCTTTCAATGGACTTAGTATTCAGTGTTATGATGGAGTTTTCAAGTGCATCCAAGTTTTTGGAGATGATCATGAATTTGGTCTTTTTGGTATTAATCTCTAATCCCATTTGCTTACTGTATTCTCCGATTATAGTGACAAGTTGTTGAAGATCGACTATGTTATCACAAATTAAAACACCATCATCACGATTCTGGCCTGTGTAGAAATGTTAGGAATATAAGTGCATTCATCAATACAATCTTTATTTTTTTTAAAGATATATCTTGTCTTTACAAACTTAAAATAGGCGACTGATCGCATTTTGTCTTGCCAATGCCTAACCGAACTTCTGCTTCTCAGGTGTCATTGTAAGTTAAACAAAATCCGCGATAGTTTAGGCTGTCAATTATCTGGTTTTCCCGGTAAAGGGTTACTCAGCTAAATAGTGTTAAAGGTGTCTATCACCTTTGTTTTCTTTTTGTCGTTTAAGCTTTAAACTCTTTAGTGAGGAGAAATTTGGTTGTCATCAAACCATATTTCTTATTAATAACTTATGTGTTTTTTTTTTCAATGGATAATCATACTTTTAAACATTTTTAATAACATTTAATCTAGATCTTGAGTAAAAATATCACCAAAAATAATACTTTTAAATACATTTTTATCAGATCTTTATTTAATGATTTTGATACTTTCTTATTTATAGCGTGTTATCTTTAAAACCATCTTTCAATGAATTACTAGACACTTGTAAAGATATTGTATATCCCAGTATTATTGATAGTTTTAATTAATTTTTAATTATGTTCTTATAATTACGATTCGTTTTTTTCACTCATTTTTTTATTGGTAATTTTTGTTAATCATCTTTTCTTCTAATATTCTTTTCGAATCTTAAACAATGTCTTATCCGCAGATCTTATTTATGATATTCAAATACCCAACTTATGTGAAATTACGGTACATGATATTTTTCATCTCATTTCATTATTCTCATTTCTTTTATTCGAATTTAGGCTTGGTTTCCATTCTCATCCATCCATCTCATTATTTGGTCTTCCTTTTTACTCCCTCCATAAACGTAGAATTCAACATTACTTCGTATTGGGTAATTACTATCTCGACATTTACCACATATTAACCATTAACCTGTCTGTAATCGCAATATTAATAAAATGCTCTGGATAAAAATGCTTCGATGTTATATTTTATCCACGCTTTTGTATGTGTTTGATGCCTAGACAGTAAAACAATCCACTAGTGAAAACCTAGAAGAATTTGAAATATGGTATTACCTGCGTATTTTGAAAATATCATTATAAACGCATAAGTTTTCAAACAACTATGAAAACAATGCGATTTTTTTTATTGAGTTAATGTCTCGACAACTAATGATCATTGGCATGGTACAGTCAGGTACCTAGTGTAGTGTATGTGTAGAGTAATTGTCTTGATACTTAGCAAAGTCGACGTCATTGTTTTTGCTAAGAGACTCTAATTACATCTGCGGTCCCTCCGGTGAGTACCGATCACACAATTATCGAAATTCATTCATTAATTAATAAATAAACGAAAATTCCACCACCCTGGTGAGATTCGAACTCACGACCTTTAGGTTTAAAGGTAAGCGCTCTTACCACTGAGCCACAGAGGGGGTAATGCGAAATTTTAAATTCACTAAAAATCAAGAATTTGGAATACTTGGGGCATATCATGGAAAGCGAACTATTAAGGAACAGAAAGCAGGATAAAATCAAAGGCAAAAGATGGGTAGGAAGACGTAAAACCTCGTGTTGGCTATGTAATCTCCGTAGATGGTTTGAATGCAGTTAAATTCAACTATTTAGGCATAAAACTGACAAAATTATCATTGCCAAAACGGCGACGAATTGCAAAAATACCTTTTTGTAAAATCCTTCGGCAAAAAACCTTCTATCAGTTTTTTATTGGCCGTCTTTTGATTAAAATATTTACATTTCTGGGTCTTCTTCATTGTTGATGGGCACTTCCTTCAATATTTTTTTGAAGTACCTTTTAGAAACCTTCAGAATCTTTATCTCGTTGATCTAACTGCTTTACGGCAATGTTTTAATGGCATTATCAATACAACGCAACTTTGTGTTAAATTACTTAATACACAATTAAAATTTTGCGTGGGCTTCTACACTAATGCACATACATGTTCCTCGTTATAATATACAAGCTAGTTCAATAGTACTAAAGTTGATTTTAATAGAAGTGTTAATAAACAGCTAACGATATCTTCTTTTTATTATAGGCCTATACCTACCCCAAAAGTGCACCAAATTCAGATGGAGATATTTATATTCTTCAGTTGATTGTTCACGCCATTGAGTTTGTTATTGATTATATTCTTCAAGCCTTCCCAAAATTCATTGAAGATATTGACCAAAAATGGCCTGACTTTCATGATGGCGAAGTGAATATCACTAAGAGTATCGTTGGTTTTGTTTTCGATTTTGTAAACAATCGTATAAACACTTGGTCACAAAGTAAGTATGCTTTAATTGATTTGATTTGTATAGTTTGATTCAGTTACTTGTTATTAATGAAATCGAGTAGGTAAAATAAAATTGGGCAAAACACGTCGCCAGACTATAAGATAATCAATGGACAAAACGTATTGTCAAGTGGCGGCCAAGACAAAAAACACTGCTGAGAAGACGACGGACTGACGAACAACAAGATGGACTGACACTTTAAACATGTTAGCAGTAATTTCATTGAAGCTGCAAAAGACTTTATCTAAGAGAGTTTGTATGAGCTGGGAAAGACCTATGTCTAGCAGTGGACTCATACAAGTTGATAATGATGACGATGATGATGATAAAGGTCTTAAGATAAACCATATGTAAATAATAATTGTCAGTTCCATATTCAAGCAAGCGAAACCAACTCACTACACTTTAAGTGATTAAGTGGGTTGATAGTTCGAATTCTGACTAGAAAACAGAAACTTCATTACACTAGTAAATTCAATGAATCTACGACTTATCTTACTTATATAAGCTGGTTTAATATAATCAGAATATTATAGGCAAGTATGCCAAGAGAGTGAAAAGAAATTTGGTGATGTTCAAAGAGATTCCAAGGTAATATTTTTTCTTTCATGTTTATATTTCTGTCATCATTTCTTTTAAATTTAATTATTATTAAAATTTCAGATAGCACTGATGGTGGTAAAAAGCTCGCTAAATGCATAACAGAAGCTCGTCATGATGCCGTTCACGTACCAGTCGATTTCATCAACAAAACACTCGAGTGCAGCGGAGATGATTTTATTGCTTTCGTCAAAACTTTGCCAACTTTAATAGAAGACCTTACTGAGGTTCAAGTAGATGCAGAAAGAGCAGCAAATAAAATTGATAAATGCCATGGAAATGATATATCTACTGTTCTCTGCGTTCTGGATGTAAGTTAAATTTGAATTAAAGTTTATATGTTTAGATTGCATAAACTGTCAAATAGATATTTAAACATATTTTTCTTTAGGTTGTTTCTGACTTGGTCGATGTTGTTAAGATTCTCGCAATCAAAACTCACAATGACATCAAACCAGTTGCAGATCAATGGAACGTATTCGTCAACAGCACTTTTAACTGCGGGAAGGATAATGTTGGCAGCTACAACGTCGCTGGAGGTAAATGGTTACAGAAAGTTTACGCTTGTGTTTCTGCCTAAATTTCCAATTAAGAGAAAGTGATTAATGCCGTTATATTTTTGTAATATAAAAGAAAATTTGCCTTCTATGTAAATCATCTTCAATTTTACTAATAAACTTTTTGCATGATTGCTGATTGTCTGCTGTAAAATAATTTTTGCCTAATTGTGAGCTGTCCTAATAATTTAGTATGTAATTTTTATGTAATTTAGAATGTAATATATTTAAATACATAATACGTATTATTGCCAATAAATGTTACCATGGCTTAATTAGGCAACTAAGATCAGATAACGTCTCCAGAAAAACAAAATGCCAAATATACAAAACCTTAATAAGACCGGTACTCACATACGGTTCAGAAACCTGGACACTCTCTAAAAGGGAGGAAACGTTATTAGTCACCTTTGAAAGAAAAATCTTGCGACACATATATAAGGGCACAAAAGAAAACGGGATTTGGCGGAGAAGGTATAACTTTGAACTATACAACATATACCAGGATCCGGATATCATAACATTCATTAAAATAGGAAGGCTACGTTGGATTGGACATGTGGAAAGAATGGAAGAAGGCGAAATACCAAACAAAATATTCAAACAAGTGCCAGTAGAAAAAGAACAAGAGGAAGACCGAAGCTGAGATACGTAGAACAAATAGAAAATGATATAACAACATTAAAAATTAAAAACTGGAAAAAAAAAGCACGAAACAGGTCAGAATGGAGAAGAATCCTTGAACAGGCCAAGACCCAAAAAGGGTTGTCGAGCCAGTGATGATGATGATGATACGTATGATATTTTGTTAAGTGTCGCAGAGAATTCAACATCAAGTTCGTGTCAAATTGCACGTCAAAATAATATGAGTTACAATTGTCCTAAGTTGTCTCCATGAAAAAAAACTTCATTTATATAAATTGACTTTTGTGCAGGAGCTAACAGAAGACGATTCATATTCATTCGTAAAATGGATTTCTGCGAAAAAATGATGGATAAAATTAAAACAAATGAAATAGCTCTTGGCACAATTTCTGATGAATTAACATTTACATTGAAAGGAGATGTAAACCAACAAAACGGTAAATATTGGTCAGCGGAGAATCCTCATCGGATGCGTGAGACACACCCTCAGTATCCTCAGTTGAATATTTGGGCAGGTATTATAGGAGATCATATTATTGGTCCTATATTTGTAGATGGTAATTTGACAGTGGAAATATATTTAAGCGTGCAAAAAGACGAAGTTCTTCCTCAGTTGACTAACTTATATTCCAATCCAATAAATTCGACCCTACCGCATGAAACTGTCTAATTCCAGCAGGACTATGCAACACCCCATTATGCTTTAATGGTGAGAAATTACTTCAACGAAATTTTATTTAATAAATGGATTGGACGAAGGGTACTATTGAGTTGCCAGCTAGGTCGCCAGATCTTACTTCTTTGGATATTTTTCTGTGGGGTTATCTCAAGAATAAACTATATGCAACACAACCAACTAGCAATAAAGACTTTAAAGAAAGGATAACTACAAAAATACGGAATATTTCACTTCAATAAACAAAGTACGGCACCAGTTTTATAGGAGACTGTCATTGCCACCAAGAAGGCGAAGAACATGTTGAGCATTTATTTTAATGTAATTCAATTAATTACCTCGTGTATTCTATGAATTGTCTTGAAGAAAATTAAACTTAATTTCAAAATTTCACCTTGTATTATTCATAATAGACAATACATGATATATTTCGTTGAGATCAGGTTGTTAAAAAGCTTTTAAAAACATAAAAAAAATACAGGGTGTTTCATTTAAAATACAGATAATGGAGTATGCCAGACTTGCATGGATCACCCTGTACATTAAAATTAATGTTTAAAAGCGCACATTTAAATTTAAAAGTTAAAGTATCTTAACGTTTTTTATTATTTTCTAAAATAAGGACACAAACAATTTTATTCCATAAGTGGTTTCTACACTGTATATTTCATCAATACAAAAGTCAAAACTATTTAAAACCAAGGAATCAGATGATGAATAATTATATCGAATTCAAGATTGTAGTTTTCTTACTATTCTCATTATCGGGATTGATAATCTAATAACAAAAGTATAAATTGAAAATCTATAGTGTTAGTTACAGTGTCGATTAATATTGAAACAAAATGAGCAAGCTTACACTCTTCTTCTGCGCCATTATCTTGGCATCAGTAAGTGATATTATTATATTTTAACTCAAAGTAAAATTGTTACAATATTAAACTCTTTTATATGTAAATCCTTCATATAATATTCAATTCATTTTCTACGAATGTTAAATTGAAGTTTTGTTTTTTAGAGTTTTAAAAAGAAACATTAAAATCTTTTGTTTAATTATTTTCATTCAGTAGATAGTTTATAACTGATTCAATATCTTAATTGCTTCATTTATTTTTTGTATTTTTTTTTCTTGACAATTTTAAAGATACTTTTGTGGTACATCAAAACTTTTACCATTTGCCATTTTGTCATCAACTGACGGAAGTCTTATCTTTCTTAACATTTTAGTGACTTCTTTGTTTTTATTGTAGGCCTATTCATATCCTAACAATGTATCAGATAACCCAGATGATTGCATTGATATAATTAAGGCAATCGTATACATTACTGAAGCTCTCATTGACTTACTTCTGGAATACGCTCCAAGGTTTATTGACAACATAGATGAAGATTGGCCTGATGTTCACCAACTGGAAGTAGATCTTGCTAGTGGTGTTATTTATACCATTTTTGATATAGTGGATGATCGTATACAGACTTGGTCAGAAAGTAAGTATAGTTATTTAAATTCTTTTGATGCGGATATTTCATTCAACGAATAGTTAACATAATTTTCTGGTAGTACCTTTTTTTTCGCCAAATTGGATAAAAATCAACGTTGAGAGTATTTTCAAAAGGGTTTGTGAAAAACACAACTATCACACAATAGCTCTGATTTTTTTTTGTAAACATTTGCTTAAACTATTTCTGAAACAACCCAATTAGGAACTATAGACGAAATAGGTACAAATGAAGCCGTTTTAGAGTACCTACATGTTCTTTTTTAGATATATATATATATATAATATATATATATAATATATATATATATATATATATATATATATATATATATATATAATTCGACTGGTCCAACGAAGACTGTAGTAACTCATTTTTTATGTAATTGAGATAATTATAAAAATGTATTTACACTGTTACCAAAATTCATTAATCTATTAAATGGATGATTTTATAGCATTAAGTGATACTTTTAATAATGATCTTACAGGGTAAAACAGATTTAAGACAGAAATGGTCATAACTGACTTTTGAATGAGTTACTATAGTTTTCGATGGGGATATTTTTAAAGTAATAAATACCAGAATTATTTGTTTCTTAACTTTATTTATATAAAATGCTACATTTTGAAGAAGCTACTGATATAATTTGCAGTTTTATATTTTAATTCAATTTTCCTCATCCGACTCTTCTTCGCTCTCAACTGAGTCAACTTCGAGCTCGACTTTAGGAGGTACATAACTCTTTGAATTAAGATTTTTATAAAATCCATGGTACATTGTGGTATTTTGCCGGTACTACACAGCCACAGTAATCCTTTTAGCTTTTTTTCTTCAATTGGTAATGGTGCATCATACAGTTTTGGTGGAAATTTGATAGTAGTGAAAGGCCGTCCTCTGCATTTTCGATTTAATTTTATGTCACAACCTCTAAAACCGTCATCGAATTCGTATTTAAACATTATAGAATTTTGGTGTTCATGCGAAAATTTTATTTCTCGTATTTTGCTAACTTTTATTGATTTCTTTTAGTTGTCAATTTTCCAATTCTCGGTATCAGTCAGTTTTTTAAAATTAAAAAAATTATCTTGGGACATTTCCGTAACATCATAAACTCTTCCTGTAGTTTTAGCCATTCTAATTAATGTAACCTACTGTTCTGGTACATATACAACCGATTGCCTTTTCTTTGCATTTTCGATAACAGCATGCATACTGTCACCCTCGTTCTGAGTGTGGCCTTTTTCCAGAAATCTGTGAACAATATCAATATGAAAATGAGCAGCAGCAAAAGCAAACATCGAAAATACAAAACGATTCCTATTTTATCCCCCACAGTTGTCTGAGTAGAATATTATTGTTTTAACACTTTGTTGTGCCTTGAGATCTAAAAATTTCCATAGGCAACTGGCAATTTCATTAGGGCCTCTTTTAGCCACCTGTTGTGCCATACATAGCAGTAACCCTGATTATTTCCAACATCATAAACTGTATAGTTATATGTAGAGTATTTGCTTTTGTAGTAAAAATCACTTACGTTAGACAAAGGGGTAGCTAAAACCTTTTGAAGGTCAAAGCAAGCCACACACAAGCTCTTATCATCTAGTGCAAGCTGTTTGTCTATGTCTTTTAAGTTTCTCATAATTTCTTTGTTTTTCATATGGGACTCATATTGTTCGAGCAATTTTGCTTTTTCAGCATCATTAGCCATATTAAAAACAGAACAAACAGTACACTGGTCCTTTTTTGATTTAAAGAACCCAATATTGAACTGTTCATTGAAAATATCTCTATACTGGCGTGACGTGGCAGCTGTAGTGATGTTATTTTTTTCGCAATGCTCGTTGTACAATCGGTACATTTTCTGAAAAGTTAGCCCTTCTTCAAGGTACATCTTCATTGTATTCTTACGGGTATAATGGGAAGGTACTACAGGAAACTGATTTATGTAATTTTTTACGTTGTCTATAAGTTCTGGTGATGGTTTATGTGGTCTGTTAGTGTGCTTTCGACGTTTATCTTCCTCTAATGATCCACCATCTTTCAGTTTCCTTAATGCTGTAGTGATCCAAGTTTCTGAAACGTTAAGGGTTTCCAAAAACATAGTTTTGCAAACACGTTGTTTTTCATTGCGAATGTAGAAGTAATATTCTCGAGAGTAATATCTTCGAGACCGTTGTTCTGCAATAATAGTTACTTGTTTTTTGGCAACCTGTCTCACATGACGAGCAATAAAATTCCACTTTCTCGTATGATCTTTTAACTTCCAAAATTCATTGAAGAAAAGGTCTCTATCTTCTTTAGCTATTTTGGTAGCACATTTTAGTCTACATGTGTTTGCGCATGGTACACCCATCTGTCTTCCTTTAATTTGAATACCTTTTCGATTTTCATGTTCAAGTCCCAGGTTTAGACTTGTTTTAGATTTTTCATCCGCCCACTTACTAACGTCTCTAATTCTTTTCCTACTTACTCTCTCTATATTGCCTCTGCTTCTTCTCTTTCTATTTGTGGTTGCTTCAGTTATATTCTTATTAGGTTCAATTATTACTTCAGGGATGTTTTTGTCTTCTGTCGGAATGTAATCTGGGTCAGTATCAGAGTCTGCATGAAATGGGTCCTCATCGCTTTCCTTCTCCATTATTTCATTTTCATTCCTATTGGCTTCATTCTCTTCTAAGCTTACTAAAATTAAACAAAAATGAGGTAAATGCCTACGTAATATTTTTTCATGCGGAATTTAACCCAACCTGTAGAACATTCAGGATTAATATCAGTCTCGTGGTCACCAGGATCCTCATTCGCCTTTTTGTATTTGCTTTCTTCTACAATACTTTTAGCAATATGTTTACCTTAAAAAATAAGTAGGTTTTTACTTTGCTATTATTATTTTAAATAAAGTTTATTATAAATTTACCTTCAAAAGAACGATAAGAAATATCTGTTTCAGTGTTTTTTTTTTTTTCGCTTTCTCAGCTAATTCCAATATTAACTCACTTCTGGAACACATTATGGCAATTATAACAAAACTAAACTTTTGAACATCACCTTAAGCTAACGCAGAATACTGTAGTAACTCATGTTACGATACCTATGCTATCGCCTCAGATAACAACGAAGACTATTGTAACTCAAGATACGATGATTTTCTACGGTTGTTTTTCATAAATCGGAGATACTATAAAACTCTTACACGTAATATTGGTTGCATAACTACGTTTACTGAGATACGATTCTTTCCTGGGAAAGATATTATTAGGTTTTATTGTTTTGCGCTCGTAACTCAAAAAGTGGAAAATTTGAGTTACTACAGTCTTCGTTGGACCAGTCGATACATAGATACAAATACTACTCTGACTAATCATGAATATAAAATAATACTGAGAGCCTGGAATGAGGAACAAATCCCGGAAGATTGGTTTATTGGGATCGTTGCCCGCTACACAAAAATGGTGATCAATTGGAATGTAGAAACTATAGGGGAATAAACCTCCAGCATACAAAATATTTTCGAGTATTTTATATGGTCGCCTGAGTGCATATTCACAGGAGCTTCTTGGCGAATATCAAAGTGGTTTTAGGCCTGGTCGATCAACAGACCAGATCTTTGTGCTAAGGCAAATGCTGGAAAAAACCAATGAATTCATTATCAACACATACCATCTTTTCGTAGATTTTAAATCGGCCTATGATAGTGTCTTAAGAAATAAATTGTATGTAGCCATGGATTAATTCCACATTTTCAATAAACTGATAAGCTTGGTTAAGGCAACAATGCGTAAAGTTGTTTGCAAAGTCGAAATACAGGGTGAACAATCACAGGCATTTAAAACGCATGTTGGGATGTGACAGGGAGATGCGCTGGTGTATCCCCCTGTCACATCGGCATGGCATGGCGTATGGGATCCTATTTTTGTGGTAGGTAATATTTTTTAAATTTGACTCTAGCTCTGTAGATGTCTTTGTAAGTCAAATACGCACAGCTAGAAATTAAATGCTTTACTTAGTTAATTCATTTGTTTATAAGTACAAAATATATCACTTTATCGCTAGTTCTAAGTTTATTAAAATTTTAGATAGCACCGAGGTTGGAAAAAAACTGGCCAACTGCATAACCAACGCCCGTGACTATGCTGTACCAGTCGATTTCATCAACAAAACACTCGAATGCAGCGGAGATGATTTTATAGCTTTGGTTAAGACTTTGCCAACTTTGATAGACGATCTTACTGATGTTCAGGTGGACGCAAAAAGAGCAGCTGATAAAATTTACAATTGCGCTGGGCATGATGTATCCACCGCACTCTGCGTTCTTGATGTAAGTTACAGTTAAAATAAAAATAGTTAAAAAACTTACACAATGCCGGAAAATTCTTTTTCCTATTATTGTAAATACCAATTGCCTGTCGTTTATGTCATCGACGAATGTCGATTTATTCACTGTTGATATTAACACTCTAAAAGTAACTACATAGTTTACAGTTTTTTTTCTAAATAAGATATCAAATATGTACGTATAAATATTTTTCTTTAGGTTGTTTCTGAGTTGGTGGATGTAGCTAAGATTCTTGTAATCAAAACCCACAATCACATCAAGCCAGTTGCAGATCAATGGAAGGTATTCGTTAACAGCACGATCAATTGCGGAAAACACAATATTGATTTCTACAATGCCGCAGGAGGTGAATGGTTGCAGAAGGTATCCGACTGTGTTACTGCCTAAGCGTTAAGTGAATGTAAATAAGTTATTTATGTAATATATTTATATATCGTAAGAATGTTTGCTTTTATTTCTTTATGTTAGGTAATTAGGAAGTGTAGAAAAATTAAACTGGGATTCTGATATATTCCGAGTAATCAACCGCAAAATTATTCTAATATGCGAATAAGACTGAATGAGAATTGGTGGATTAAGAATGAGAAACCTTCCTAACAGTGAGAATTAGAAATCAGATAAAGTAACAAAGTTGATGGGATCTTTTAGTTTGTAAACCAGAGAAATCTCTGACACAATATAATCAAAATAAAATTATCATGGATAAAAATAACAAGATAATAACGGAATGTACAAATAACCTGAACAGATGGAAAGAATACATAAAAGATCTATTTGAAGATGACGAGAAAATTGAGGTCATTGAACCTAGAGGAAAAAATGGGCCACCGATCACCAGAGACGAAATTGAGAAAGCTCTAAAACGTATTAAAAATGAGAAGGCCATAGGACCAGATGAAATACCTACAGAAATCTTAAGAAAATTAACAAAAAATCATATGGGCACACTTATCAAATTATTTTTTATTGACATTTATTATAGGGGAGAGATTCAAGAGTTATCCAATACCCAAAAAATCAAACGCAATGAAGTGTGAAGAATTTGATGAACCATATTCTAAAAGTGTTCTTATGAGTAAAACACGAACGTATCTATAAAAAGCTAGATGATAGAATAGCTGAATTCAGAAAAGGCTTTGGCAGCAGAGAAGCATTATTCACTGTACAAACTAATCGAACGATATCCAGATTTCAATTGCGACGTATTCATATCTCTAGTCTAGTCGACTTCAAAAAAGCTTTCGACGAAGCAAAGAGTTAACATCGATATATTAGGTGATAAAATAAACGTGCTGACCACGGATTAAACAAAACCGAAAAAGAAAAAAACCAATAACTTATTGGAAAAATTCTAATTAGGCAACTAAAACAAGAGAGTTAGTAGATTAGTATACTTGTGTGCAAATAATAATATGGTGATGACAAATATATTTTTTAAACTGCCTAATAAATATCCCTGTACATGGAAATTACAGCTAAGAGATTCAAGGAGAGTCTCGAAAGCAAGCTGGAAGGCTTGCAACTTGCAAGAAGTGGCAACTAAAGTTATCGGAAAACAAAAACGTAAAAAATTAAGGTCAGACTGGTACGATGAGGAATGCATACAAGCAACGCAAAGAAAAAATCAGGCATCTAGAAGACTCCAAGGGCGAAGAATGAGACAAACAAAGGCAGAGTATAGGCAGCTGAGACGAGAAGAAAAACGAATAATTAAAAAAGAAGAAGAAAGAGAATATAGAGAGCTACCTAAAAGAACTAGAGAACCATAAGGCTGAAGCAGAAACGCGAAAGTTCCTACAAGAGGATTAACCAGAAAAGGAAATAATTCAAACCTAGATTATCATTTGTTAGAAAGAGAACAGGGGAGATCATTGGTGATCAGGACCAGAAACTAGAAAGATGGGCAGAAAAATTCAAGGAAAGGGTAAATATAAGAGATGAAACAGGGCTCCACGAATAAGAAATCCAACTCGAGGACAATGACGATAAAATAGCGAAAGATAACATCCCAACAGAAGTAGAAGTCATTTACGCTATACAGAAATTGAAAGAAAACAAAGCTCCTGGGTTAGATGATATTCCTTCAGAACTTTTAAAGCATGGCAAAAAAACCGACATACTATATATGCAGACTGGTAGAACTGATCTGGAAGCAAATAAAGTTGCCAAAAGACGGGAATTGTTTTGTTTACTTATGCATCTACATTTTCGTTACCTCAGAAACATAGTCGTTACATCGTACGATATTAGGCTTGACATAATAAACAATCGAGTATTCCAATACGAATATAATAATTATATCCTAACACTTAAGTGTGTAGGCGCGATATTTCGGGCCAATGCTTTTTAAATGCATTCATTTTTTTCGAATCCTGAGGAAACTAACAAATATTTTTAACAAACTTAAACGCAGAATGAAAGACTTCATTATTACCGAGGGCCTGGAGTCTCTTATAATAAACAAAAATTTTTTTTTCAGTGAGATATTTAAAATTAAAAATCAAAATAAATGTTCTCTTCTTTTTCACACCTGTAACTTATTAAAATAAACATTACAGAAGTTTTCAGGGACTTTTGAGACCTTAGTAATAATGTACATATTACTAAGACGATCATTCGGCGTCTCAATTTTTCAAAATATATTATTAGTTTTCTTAGGATTCGAAAAAAAAAAGAACAAAAAAAAGAACGCATTTAAAAAGCAATGGCCCGAAATTTTACGTCTACGCTGTTAATGTTTGACAGGTATTTTGCAGACTATATTGTCGGTTTATTTTTTATTGATGGAAATTTAACGATCAAAATATATTTAGAGTTGTTGCAAAATCAAATTATTCCAACATTTTCTGTTAACTTTGACGAAATTTTGTTTCAGAAATATGGATAACCTGCTGTCTGTTTGTTTTTTGCTCTTTGTAGTTTGTGTAGAACCCAGAAGAAATGTGGAAAGGTTTTAGAAATGCCATAGAAACCTCTGTAGAAAGAACCAGAACCGAAAAAAAGATCATCAAAAGAAAACACTGGATGACAGATAGAACGCTGCAACTTCTCGAAGAGCGAAGGAGAATCAAATCTCTTATATATCAAAACGACAGCAACAAAAACGAATTAGCAAGGTTAAATAGAAAAATTAAAACAGCATGTAGGGATGATAAAAGTAAACATATAAATGAAGAATGCGAAGAACTAGAGCGACATCCAAACTGGTATGAATCCCATGAGCTATACAACAAATTCCGATATCTATCCAGGGAATTTAAATCAATCACACAAACAATAATGGATCAAAACCAACATATTATAGATAACGAGAAAGGGATTGAGGAGGTATGGAAAAAATATTGTCAAAGTCTATATGCAGATGATCCCCAGAATGCAAATCACGACGAGCTCATTGCAGAGAGAAAACCAAATATTCTAAAGTCAGAGGCAGAAAACGCAATCAAAAATTTTAAAAATAGAAAATCTCTTGGCGCAGACCAGATAACCACAGAAATTTTAAAAGAGAGTGGAAATGTTGGAGTAAATGTTATGCATATGATCTGCAATACCAATTTGGTAGACCAAACAAAAATATTGATTAACCAACGGTTACATGAAGCCGAACAACTAGCCCAGGACAGGGAAGGATAAAGGGAAATCGTGAAAAAACTATAAAGGCCTGATGGTTTCATCACATCCAAAAAGGGATTGGCACTGAGGAGGATTAGTTTGTGTAGAGCACCTGTCTTTCTTTCTCTCGAAATCCGCTTATCAATTTTTTAACTTTCTTTGTAAAATAATAATGTCATTTAATACTAAATTATCTAGAATTCAATTTTTTTAGTATTAAAAAATGAAGGTCCTTGTAATGATGATAAAGTTATCTTGATATTTTTTTCAAGTACGGCGTAATAGTTGATTATCTTATCTCGCTTAATAATATCCAATAAAATCTACTTAAACTATTGATTTAACGTGATGTTATAACTGCATTGGCACATTTATTGGAAGATTATTAGTTTAAAAGTGCATCGGTAATATATTATGGCAAATCTAAAATTATTGTGTTGTTTTTTGGCAGTTTCTTTCGTATCGGTAAGTATTTGAAGCATCTAATAACTTTAAAAGGCTTGGTAGCTTAAAGGTTCAAGGTATTCCTTTTATAAAGGAATACTTTGAACCTTTGGAACAATTTAAGTGAAGCACTTGACTTCAGAAAGATCTAGTAATATCAAAAAATATTCTAATATTCACAATAGAGATAATACTAAAAAACGATTTCTCTAGCAAAAAAATGAATATTATTGACAAGAATTACCAATTAACGCCCTACAATACATAACTAAAAAGCATTTCGTCCTTTAATTATTTTATTATCTCCCTAAAGATAATATTAACAATATTACTGTATTTTGTATTATTGTTACCTCCGAGCAAAAGTTAATTTTATATATGTGTAACTTTTTATCGAGGACCTCAATATGGGCTAAAATTATAAGCTTGAAATGGGTCATATAGGTTGTTCTAAAACCATTTGTAAGTAATCCTGTTTTATTTTCTTTTTACCTTTTTTTTTAATGGACTCTTATTTTTAAGGTAAAAAGAAAACGTACACAAAACAAAATATCTTTGCCTTATTCTTAATTGATTTACTTAATTTCTTTTAAATACCCAAAAAAAACTTTTAGGTAAATACCTTCCACACTCAAATACGACTACAAGATTATGATAATCTCATTGATACCTTAAAAGAACTAATCCATGATATAGAAAAGACCCTTGACCGAGCCATAGAAGACGTTACCAAAGCTATTAGTGAGATAGACGACAATTATACTGGTTACAAAAATAAAATTGTTGGTGCTTGGTCAACAATCGTTAATAGCGTTTTTAAAAAACTCACAGATGTTTCTAGATCGTGTAGCAGAAGGTAATTAACACAAGTAGTCTAAAACACATTTATAATATTCTTGTATTCGGTATTCTAGTACATTAAACTTTTTAGATAGCACAGATGCTGGTAAAAAACTGGTTAAATGTTTCGAAGACTCAAACATTACTTCAGTACCTGTTTTATTTGCAAACCTAACTTTAACTTGCATCGAAGACGATTTGATTAAAGTAGTCAAGTCGTTAGGGCCATTAGTAAAGCACCTTGCAGAAGTCCAAAAGAAGGCTAAAGCAGCAGCGAATAAGATCGATGATTGTGGAGATAATATCACTGATATTGGATGTGTTATTCAGGTAAATATTTTAGTAAGTGATGATCGTTATGATTTGACCTTGGATAATTTTAAATCTTGGCGACAATTGGTTCACTTTATACTTTTACTGGCATTTCATATTAAATTTAAAGATGTAATGACAAGACAATGCGATAAATATTTAGAAGTTTTTGTCAGGAGACCATTAATAGATATTAACAACAATAAATAGTTACAAAACCTAATGAAGTCAATAATTATAAGGTTGTTATCGATACTGATGTTAGATATTTTGCTAGTAAAGAAAAAGTTCCACAAAGGTTTTCCTTCGCATTATTGATATGTAGGAAAAATTGAATTGATTAAAGTGGACAGTAAGGTAGTGGATATTATATAAGTGAAAAACTACTAAAGCTGTAAAAACATGTACGGTAAATGGAGAAACAGGTACAATATTTAGAAAAGAATTAGTTAGAGATAATAAAAATTTTCTCGACTTGATTAAAACACATATTGCTACCTTAGGAAAGGACCGTCTTATCTCAAAAAAGTCAAAAATAGACTATGAAAGTGAATAGGTTTTAATCTATAAGTTGGTTTATGCCTATGGCCGTCAAATAGTAAAAATGGTTATTGTTAATATGATACCTAAATAAGAAAGGTCTACGTGACAGTTTGCACAATATTGTCACATTTTAAGATATGCTACCGTCTCTCAAAAACACAGTAAGATATACAATACTTTCTGTAAAGAATAATGCATTATTTTGAGTTGTGTCATTATTGTAAAGAAGTTGAGGTTATGTTTAAAATGAGTTGTAGTCATTGACATATAATACAAATTAACTGAGCGCTGCTATTCAGCGCGTTCCCCCCAGTGCTAAATGACCAATGAGAAGATCAATTAGTCAATATACCCTGCCCATAAAAAAATGAGGTGGCTGCTTTGCATCTGTTTTTTCTGTCGCACTGGGGAATACGTCTGTATTGCAGCGCTTAGTTTATTTGTATTATATGTCTCATATTGTAGTATTATTTTGAGTTATGTCAGTATTTTACAAAATTATTAAAACTTCTTGAATTTTTTAAAACAACTATCAACAAATTATTTCGACTTATGACGTTTTAAAAAAGTAATATCCAGTAAATCCAGTTGGAAATATTTTAGATCATTAAAATGTCTAAAGGGTTTACGGGTAGCCTCATGCTAAAGTTTACTTAACGATTGAACATTAAAGAGTAACAGATAATAAAAATTTTCAAAATTTGATAACAGCATATACCGTTAGCTTGGAAGAAGACTGTCATATTTCAAAAAAAAAGTGAAAATGGGCTATGTTAGTAAACAGACTTTAAATATTTCTTGTGTGATAATGTCTTAAAGTCAGTTTTTCCCTATGGCTGTCAGATGGTAGAATTGTCGTTATTGTTAATAAGATACCTAAATAAGAAAAGTTGGCGCAACATTTTCCCAATATTGTCGTATTTTAAGATATTCCCTATTTTCTCAACAACACAGTAAGATAATACAATACTTTCTGGGTTATTTTGAGTTGCGTTAGTCTTGTAAAGAAGATAAAGTTATTTCTAAAATGGACTTTAGTTATTGACATATAATACAAATAGACTAAACGCTGCTATACAGCCGTGTTCATCCAGTGCTAAAAGGCCAATGAGAAGGTCAAGTAGTCGCAAACCCTGCCCATAAAAAAGAGATGAGGTGACTGTTTTGCATCTGTTTTCTCTTTCGCACTGGGGAATGCGTCTGTATTGCAGCGCTTACTCTATTTGTATTATTTGTCGATGGTTGCAGTATTATTTTGAAATATGCCAGTATTTTAAAAAAATATTAGAACTTCTTGAATCTTTAAACCCAACTATCTATTTAGGCGTATTTAGGGGTAGACCCAAGTTTATATCTGTCAAAAACGACGAAAAAGTGTATTATCAAAATTTAGAATAAATTTTCAAATAAAGACACGTTTTTTTGTTTAACGATAATTTATTGCAGAATGCAATTTTTTAGAAATGCACAATTTTTAGTTTTTACACTAATGCGTCTCTAGTATTGTTATAAAACAAATCTACTATTGTAAAAAAACAAGAAGTACAATTTTAATAAAAAGGGAATTATTTCCAAACAACGAATACATTTTTTTAAAGAACGTCACAACTCAAAAAATTTATTATCTAAAATAAAAGTATGGAATTGACCAAAGCTTTTTACAGGCTAGTACACAATAAAGCCAAAATATTAGCTGTTTGCAGTTATGGGTATATTTTATAATATTTTAAAAGATCATTTCTGCAAATAGTCACATTTTGATATATGACGGTCTTCTTTTAAGATAGAAGATATAAGATATAAAAAAGAGAAAGACGAGAAAATAAAATGAAATGAAAAACTTTAAGTGAAGAAGAAACATGATAAAACTATGGAATTCGAGAAGCAAAAAATAAGTTGCATCTAAATGAACTTAAAGTACTTCTATTATCTGATAAACGAAAAAAATGGAATGAATGTACATTTAAAGATTTTACGAAAGATTTCGACCGGATCGAAAGAATAGAAACTATTAGAAATGATGAAAAAGAGATATCCCAATACACCTTATTCAAAAACTAAAATGTAGAGAAATGCAAATTTTGTTATTAAAATGCAGGCAAACAAAATATAGTCAATATAAAAACAAACCAAAGAATAAAACCGAACTGGTACTAGAGATCAAAATTCCATCGAAACTTCGATTAATTAATCAACTTTTTAATAAAGTTTCAAAGAATCTCTGTTTTTATTTTGTTTTGATAAATTTTAAGAATATAAGTTGTATGATGATTAGTTTATTATTGCGTCTAGAAATTGTACCATATAGCAAATATTGTATTTTTTAAATAACTGTTTAACCAACTATTTTAGGTAGGTGTGGACTTGCTCGTCATAGCAGCTGAAATACCAGAGATAGTAGAGTCAGAACTTGCTCCAATTATGGGAGATATCGAAAATTTAATAACAACATTTCAAAAATGTGCCAAAGATAATAACCATCCCAATGCAGCCAAAATTCTGGGTAATATCGGAAACTGTGTAAGAGCGTAGATGACTACAATATTCACTAGTTAAATCTATTTTTTATTAGCAAAACACTTTAGACGCTACAATATATGGTTTCTGTTCAAAAATATTTAAAACTATATATAAAAAAAATAGTTTCTGTTCAAAAGGACTTCGTCATTTTACAGTGTCCATTTTTCATCTAGTAAATAATTTTTTCCAATCCATTCAGTTTATTTCACAATTTTTAACAATTTTACAGTCCAGAAACTGCAACACAATTTGTATTTTTGCACCCAACTGAATAAATGACAACCGTATCACAAATTATACACTTCACATTTTTCTTCTGTTCAAATTTATTGATATTTAAAACTAGCTGATACGAGCAATATATTTTTATCTACGTATTAACAGTAATCATTGGAAAATGTGTTTTGACGTAAAAATTGTATAAAATAGAATATTAATTCGTTTGAATATTTGATTAAACTGTTTGCTATACGTTGTATATTTTATCTATACATTTATTATAATTTTTATTAATAAAATGAGTGTTATTAATATGTCGGTTTTATTTGTTGATTGTATACAGCGTTACTTTATTTAATAAATTTATAAATATAGAATATATAACCACATAAATGGTAAATAAATTCATTTGCAGCAATTATTTTATTTGTCTGTCATAAAACTTGTAGAAAGGAAGGAGTTTTATACACGACAAAGCCGTTTGTTCAAAAAATATTTTTGTAGTTAAACATTGTCGTCATCATCTTTTTTGTCTTTATCCTCCATGCGGTCTTGACTTCCCTAATTAAATTTCATAATTTGCTATCTTTTGTTATACCAATATTAATTCTGTTTACCGACATGTTATGTCTAAGCGTCTCCCCTCAAGTCTTATTTTTTGCTAAACAAGTCGCTAATCAAATTGCTGAGTCAAGTGGAAAATATCGAGTCTGCGATTCGCAGTTACTAATCGAAAAAACTGAATAAATAAGGACATAATCAGCAAGAATTGCGCATAAAGCTAAGACAGCGAAAAATAACTTGTCACCAAGAAATCCATGTCATAAAATCATTAAACGCAGACTAAGTTCCTTGTTCATGTGGACATGTGTATATTGGCGAAACTGGTCGTTCCGTCAAAACTCGGATTCAAGAGCATCAAAGATGCATTCGATCAGGTATTTTCTCCCATTCTGCAGTTGCAGAACACTGCCAAGAAACCGGTCATTCCATATTGTTCGAAAAAACCCATATTATTTCTAAGAGCCCCTTCTTTTATTCCAGGAAAATCCGCGAATCTCTAGAGATCCGAAAAAATCCACATAATATCAATCGAGAGGAAGGATACTACTTGTCTCCCATCTGGAATCTCAGTCTAGAGCCGCCGTCCGGTCCCGCCACCACGATGCAGCCACATGATTAGCCAGCGCGCGCTTCTTGACGTTCGCGCCACGGAGTGTGCCGATACGTCCCGACACGACAGGTCACCGCGGTAGCGGAGTAATCGTCGGATTCACTCCCCGCCTCTCGACGCGTTAGTGTTCTGAGCTGTTGGACGTGAATCCCTGTCCTGGCATTTGGTTTTCACCTCTGGCTGCGTTGAGTAGTTGAGTTACTGTGACCAAATGCCCATCTTGGTAGTTAGTATTCGCCTCTGGTTGCGTTGAGTAACTGAGTTACCGTTGCTAACTACCTATCTTCCTGTCTTCTTTTTCTTTTTCTTTTTCTTTGTTCTCCTGAAGAAGCTACATACAATTGTAGCGAAACGTCGAGATGAACCCACTTTTGGGTCACTCACAAATGACACGGTCCAAACCCGGAAGACGAATAAACTATAATGCAGACTAAGTTGTTGTAAATTTACCAGCAGACAAGGAAAACGCCACCATCGTAATGAAGACAACCGACTACAATACAAAAATCCAAAATCTTCTAAACCCTGCGGCATATAAAAGATCCCACAGCAGTCACTCTACGGTAAATCTATGGACCTAATAGAGTATCTATAGATTTATTAGATTAAATCGTCGTCCATACCAGAAGATATAAAGCTAAGAATAGGCAACAGCGAAGCAGTCCCACCACCTTGTATGGCTTACCGAAAATACACAAAGACGATGTACCTCTACGCCCTATTGTGAGCTCCATAGGATCTCCGTCTTACAGCCTTGCTAAATATCTGACCAATAATCTACAAACACACATAGAAAAAAACAATGCCTTTGTAAAAGACTCTGCCCATTTCATCAAAAAGATCAAAGGAATAACTTTACATCAACCTGGCATTCTTGTTAGCCTTGACGTTGTTTTCCTATTAACAAGAGTTCCCCTAGAATATTTACTGAATTTAATTGAGGGCTTAGTTTTTAAGGATATGGTGAAATTATACCGTATTTGCCTCACTACCACCTACTTTTCAGTGTAGGTGTGGAAAATATAAATATGGCCTCCGTATTACAAATCCGCGCCAGTTTTAGCTTACAAACGAAGCAGTAAGTGTCGTTACATACTATAAGAAAAACACCCGACCCGGGTCTTTAACGGTCCGAGTGTTTTTCGTATGAATTTTACACAGCGCATACCTGTTTATCCGATTTCTCTCGATCCGGAGACCTCACATCATTTTCAGTATCAGTGCAGTATTCAGTGTTCTTTCATTATGGACAGACGTAAGAAAATGATTATTATTTCTTTATTAAGACATCGTCGCAAAACAAAAAAATTGAGAACTGTTTGGGTTCATCCAATAGTTGCACAACGGTATATTGTTGGTACATTTCAGACACTATTTTCCCAGCTAAGGGAAGATAATGTGAAATTTTTCAATTACTTTCGAATGTCTATTTCTACTTTTGATGAACTACTAAAGTACCTACAACCTCATATCCAGAAAGAAAATACCCACTTAAGAAATTGTATTCCACCTATAGAAATGTTGGCAGTAACATTAAGGTAAGTTGGGAAGTTTAATTAATTATTACTAAAAAATAAGCTTTATTATTGAGTTAATAACAACAACTGTATTAAAAATCCATATCTGACAAGAATGAAGAAAGTGAGGAGGGTGTCCCTGCTTCTGTTGAAAGAGGTGTTGATGTTTGACGAGTATACTCTTCTTGGTAATGTGTTGTTGCTGCAGTTAACATATTGGACTGTGTCTGTGTATTATTAAAAGCCGTAGCTTGACTGTTGTCTTGTGTCCCAGGTACAAAATGTTGCTGAGGTCGAGGGTGCGCTGGAGGATATGGATTGTGTAGCGTAGAATAGTAGAGAGGCGTTTGTTGGTTGACAGCCGGCAGATGAGGATTTCCCGATTTAATGTTTTTTACCAACTGTAAAATTCCCATCTGAAACTCAATAGTTTGGGAGTCATTAAAACCTTGAATAGAAGGTAGGACGCCTTTAAAAAACAGTAAGTGCCGGTCTTGCGGCTCATCCGACTCCAAGCTTTTCAGCATTCGCAATTCAAACTCGTCCATTCTACGCTTTTTGTTTGCACCTTGGGTTACTTTGTGAGCACCATCACGACGTTTGGTAGTTGTTTTTTCTGGTGCTACTTCTGTTACAGGGGTGCCAGTAGCTTGGTCCTTATTTTGTTGTGAATCGTTTTCACTTTCGTGTTGTTCTTCGCCTTCATTTGGAATATTAGATTCTGTTGGTCTGTGGGTCGGAATTTTCTCCAGAAACTTTAATTGTTCAGCATAAATATACTTTCTTATTTTTGATGCTCCTGCTCCTGATTTTTTTACGTCGTTAACCCTCTTTTTCCACTTCATCCATTGGTCTCGAATATTTGTCCAACGTTTCAAAACCAATGTACCTGCAATAAGAGAATCGTGTAAAATTTGTGTGACTTCAAGGTGAACATAGTGAACAAGTCAAAGGACCCCGCGCTTTTTAGTAGGAAAATGACCCTTGATGAAATTTTCTACATTTTTGATATGTTGTAATTATCATCAACCATGGACCCAACTCAATCCTATGAGTAGTTTTCGAGATAGAGGGTGTTACAGTTTAAAATGGTTTCATTTTACTACTACTTAAACTTGTAGTAAACGTTTTTGTGTAACATAAATTCAATCCATTTTAAAGTTTAACACCCTGTATCTCAAAAACTAGTCATAGGATTGAGTTGGGCCCGGAGACTTTTGATCAGGATGATGAGAAATATAACATATCAAAACAATTTCGGCCTATTCTATTGTCGTCATGCTTCTGGAGTTCTGTAATCCAATAATCGGCGGGGCGTCTGCCCGGATAGTAGTTGTTGGAGCTTCAGAAACGGCCGCGAATATCCCTTGACCTCAGGGGTTGTGGAACCGGAGATAAAAAGCGCAAAGCTTGTTTTGTTTGTATGAACCAACTCCGGAAAAATTCGCATATCGTGTGTGTGTGAACATATCAATAATTTAGAAAATTTCACCAAGGGCCATTTTCCTACTAAAACTATGATCAATTACAGTTACCTACTTTCTTTTTCAGGTACCTCGGTAGTGGATGTTATTTCACAGATCTACATTACAGTTATCGAATGGGAATATCTACAATAGCGAACATTGTGCGAGAAGTTTGTAATATTATTTGGTTAAAGTTAACCGACGACTTTTTGCCTAAACTTAATAGCGAACTATTACAAAATGTAGCCGAAGGTTTTGAAGAAAGAGCAAATTTTCCACATTGTATAGGAGCCGTTGACGGCAAGCATATCCGAATAATTAAACCAATTGGTAGTGGATCCATGTTCTTTAATTATAAAAGCTATTTTTCGGTAGTGCTGATGGCTGTTGCTGATAGCAACTATCGATTTATTTACGTTGACGTTGGTGCATACGGAAGTGAATGTGACTCAACGGTTTTTAAAGAAAGTTCTTTGTGGAAAAACATTCAGACTCAAAAACTACAGTTACCAAATCCTAGGCCCCTCTATGGTTCATTAAATCCAGACATACCTTACTTTTTTATCGGAGATGAAGGTTTCGCCTTGAGTACTCATTTACTTAGACCATTTGCAGGGAAAGACTTAAATTATAAAAAAAAAATTTTTAACTACCGCCTCTGTCGAGCAAGAAGGTATGTAGAATGCACATTCGGAATACTGGCAAATAAGTGGAGAATTTTTCATCGTCCTCTTAATGTCCATACAGACTTAGCGGTTAATATTGTTAAAGCATGTGTCGTCCTTCACAATTTTGTAAGGGAAAAGGACGGTTATAACTTTGAGGACACCGTTTCAACCGATGGTTTTGATGATATACCTACACATCAAATCAGTCATGGTCAAAAAGCTGGGACTGGCATACGAAACGTTTTAGCTGACTATTTTGTAACAGATGAAGGCTCTGTGCCGTGGCAAAACTCAAAAATTTAGATTAATAAATTGCATAATTGTTACTATAGATACTTATTTCACAATAATAATAAAATTTATAAATCTTATATGAGCTTCAATAACTTGTAGTGGACATATAAAACAAAATAATAATATAATATAGCCAAATGTACTCACCAAATTGTTTGCGCTCCACGGCATCTACTTGGTCGAAGTTTTCATCCA